ATTGAATTTTCGATGGTTGTATTTATCACCTAAAAAGTAGCAATTTTTTTTTTCACATCATATTAGAATTCTAGTTGAATTTGTCGAATTGAATGGAAAAGAAGAATGTAGTGGCAAGTGATAGTGATAAAGTTTGTCTAGTAAAAATTTTGGAAGTCATAGAGATAAATTTTATCTAACTAATATATAGTGATAAAATTTATCTGGCAAAAAATTTAGAATATTAGTGATAAATTGTATCTAGCAAAAAATTTGGAAGTTATAGAGATAAAATTTATCTGGCTAATATTTTGTGAGCATAATTGTCTTTAGTGTAATAATTAGGAGTGAAATAGGAAAATAAAGTTGTTCAAAATATTTTGGAATTCGAATAGGTATGAAGGAAAGAAAAATACATGGGTTTAATTCTTTACTCTTCTAATCTTTTATTATATAATAATGAATAATGAATTTTCAATGGTTGTGTTTATATCTTAAAAAATAGCAATTTATTTTCCACATAATATTAGAATTATAATTGAATTTATCGAATTGAATGGAAAAAAAAAATGTATTGGCAAGTCATAGTGGAGATAAAATTTATCTAACTAATATATAGTGATAAAATTTATCTTGCAAAAATTTTGAAATATTAATGATAAAGTTTATTCAGCAAAAAATTTGAAAGTCATAGAGATAAAGTTTATCTAGCTAATTTTATCTAACTAATATATAGTGATAAAATTTATCTTGCAAAAAATTTGGAATATCTTGCAAAAATTTTGAATATTAGTGATAAAGTTTATCCGGTAAAAAATTTAGAAGTCATAGAGATAAACTTTATTTAACTAAAGTTTGTCTAGCTAATATTTTGTAGGCATAATTGTCTTTAGTGTAATAATTAGGGGTGAAATAGGAAATCAAATTTTTTTAAAAAAATAGTAATTTTTTTCCACATCATATTAGAATTATAATTGAATTTACCGAATTGAATGGAAAAAAAAAATGTATTGGCAAGTCATAGTGGAGCTAAATTTTATCTAACTAATATATAGTGATAAAATTTATCTTGCAAAAATTTTAGAATATTAGTGATAAAGTTTATCCAGCAAAAATTTTGGAAGTTATAGAGATAAAATTTATCTATTTAATTTTATCTAACTAATATATAGTGATAAAATTTATAATATCTTACAAAATTTTGAATATTAGTGACAAAGTTTATCCAACAAAAAATTTGGAAGTCATAGAGATAAAATTTATCTAACTAAAATTTATCTAGCTATTATTTTGTAGGCACAATTGTCTTTAGTGTAATAATTAAGGGTGAAATAAGAAATCAAAATTTTTTCGCAGATGCTGACATTTATAAGTAGTACAGATATGTTGATGCATTATACCCCAAAGCTAATCCATCAATTTTGATTTACCATTGTCGACGACATCCGAGTTTTAATTTTTCAATATTGCACATAGGACTGTTAACCGAACCAAACTTTACAAGTTTGAGCCCGAACCTGTTCAGCTTGTTTTTCTAAATAAATCTAAAAAATTATTTAAGTTTGATCCATTTAAAACATGAGTCGAGTTCAAACCGAACTCGAGTAGCTCGATTCGATTAACGACCCTAATTGCACATTCCATTCACTAGAGTCTAACTGTTTTGATACATTGTTGCTTTTAAGATGATCAATTATTTTTTAATAAAAAAAAATAGAGCTAGACTAACCAAAATATTAAATTAAAAATAGGAATTAAATGACATGAAAATTACAATAATAATATTTTTTTATTAAATTTTTATTCATTAGATATTCAAGATTTATTGACCATATCAGCAATAATTTCATTTTTTTGTCAGTGTAACATTATTTTAGGAAAAGAAAAAGGAATAAATTTTGCAGACGGGCCCTTTGTTTTTTTGCTCAATTCTACTGCATGCCAGATGGGATTCACCAAGGCACCCCCAAGAAAATATCATTTTATTCCTATTCTTAAGTTAATAACTACCATATTGTATACTGCACTGCACGGCTACATTCACCTTTCCCTTCTCCCAAAAAACTGAAAACCATTATACTTTCTACTGTAGTATTTTCTCTTGGGTATACCGAATCGCTGCCAAGTCTCCGTATCTTACATAATAATGTTTTAATAATAACAATACGAATTCAATTTATTGAACCAATGTAAAGCTATCGTTGAATTAGCAGTGTGTCCTACGCATTGCTTTGTGTGTAGGATATGATTAAAATTTGTTGGTCATTAATACAGTTTCTTCAGTGTTGTTCCCCGTGTGCACTTTTTTATTTTTTTTTGGGTCAAACATGTCCAACAAATTCTCTCTTTCAACCAACATACCCTACTGATCTTTTTAGTGTAATAGGCAAACAAATAGAAGATGTATGGATTGAATTGATAGTCGCATCATAAATGTATATATGTGTCAACAGTTGTATAACATTGGATTGATGTGTCTCGGGTTTTTTTCAAACAGGAAGATCTTGAATGATATAATATTAAATCGAGATTTGTGAATTCAACACATATATTCAGAATATATGTATCGAGCACGAGTATGAATATTGCATGATTAAGATGATTCTTCGCTTCGGACAAAAGGGGAAGAGAGGGGGGGGGGGGGGGGGCTTGGATAACCAGGGTGAAGCCTCCTTGCAAGTAGGTTTCTGCAGGCACCAACCCATATTATGATAGGCTTGATTAAGGGGATATTATCTTCCACTATTGGTCTGGCAGGGGGGCACTAGGTGTGCACCATTGATTGATTCCTAATGTGAGATTGAATCTAAATAGAGCAAGAGTAAATACCCAACACTTGCCGTACCTATCATTTCGGACTTTCCCATTAGATCAGCAATAATCAAATCGGCTTGAGCTTCCACCCCTCCTGCGATTGTGCAAATTCATTGTATTCGAGTTATTCTAGTATAATTTTCTTTCATTTCCCAAGTGAGATCAATTCTATATAAATGGACCAGTTATTAATATACGAGGTGATCTACGAAAAAGAGAAATAGAAGCAAAAAAATATTAGATTGGATCTAAGTCTAAGAAATCCGTATTATCATAAACCTTTGAATCGTTACAAGAAAATGTAATCTGATTTATGATTTCAAAGTAGGTATATTTGAGTGTGTATATGATTATTTGTATGTGTACATAGTAGAAGACCACACAATCTATAGTGGTTCTGACATCTCCTACATCCACCCTTCCAACCACCGAGGTAGTCGGTTCTACGCTAAATAAAATTTTTAAGAAAACCACAACTAACCTTGTGGATTATAATTCGGCTAAACCTCTAGCCAAACTAAGCAATGCAGGAGAAAGATATAAATTGCAGTAACTTGTAGCAACTACTGCAGGGTGTATGTGATAAGAGAATAATGAATGTCCATAACCATAACAAATCTATGTAGCATACGAACAGAGCTCTCAATTAGTGGAAAGAATAACTCAAACAAGAATGAAATAGGCTGTGTAGAAAACATGATAAAAAAGAGAAGCAAAGACCAATTCATCGGTAAGCCAAGGCTGGACAACCACCCTTTAATTGAACAACATGAAGTGGAGAAAAGAGCCCCACAAAATCTTCTTAGAAACCATCACTGACATTTAATTTTTAATTTTTCAACTCTTAAGGGTAGTCCAGTGGTCAAGTTTGCTCTCTTACTTGCAAGGGTCTAAAGTTTGATACTACTTACATCTCTCGTGTCTTTAAAATAATTCGAGTTATAGTGGCCGTCTCAATGTTCGAGGGAGTACTTGGTCTAAACTTGGACACCTTATAAGAAAAAAAAATATAATTTGTCTCTTCCTTTTTGGGCAATAATAGCATCAATTTTGACAACAGAGGACATGCTGATCTTACCATTGATTCGAACTCCTCCATGGAATTCCGTGTTTTTTCAAAAATAATGCATATGAAATTAGTCCAGGTCTCGAAAATCCACTGCCAAATATCGTATTTTTAATCAGAAAAATCTGGAGTAGGTGAGATTATAATCGTGTATGAATAATAAAATGACATTTCCCATATTTAAATAAATGTTACAATTAGCTTAATTTATGTTTCCAATCAATCAGAATTCAACATAAAATGCATTACAATAACAACCTTTATCCCAAGAATAAATTATACTTACATGGCTGTTGCCATCAAATCTCATTACATCATAGGGGATTGTTTGCAGGTTGAATACATGTATTTTCAGATGGAGCTAGCAGAGGGCAACCAATGAGGACAAAGGGCGAGATGGAATTATCTTCCAAGTGAGAAAATACTCAATGTAACGGTGACACTATGTTATCGAGCAGTGATAACAAATTAATCACTAATAAACTGCTCCTCAGCAAAGACAGTTCAACATCAAACCCACCAGCAATCTCAAGTTCGGAGACAACCTTCTCCATAGCAGTTCTCCATCACTTCCTTAAATCTAAAGCTGGTACAGGACCTCCTATCCTAGACCTTCCATCATGGTCTTCCTCACCACTTGTCTTTCTCCTGTGAAGGAACCGATCGCTAGAAATCTGTTCCCTCTAGTTTATGAAGGTTATGAAAGTTGTCGTTCTTTCATTTTAAGTTTCTTTTCTGAGGTGATTGTCATGTTGTACCTCCAGTTCTTTTAATGTCCTACACCAAGTTTAATTTATCTAAAACGCAAATATAGGAGATAAAAAAAATAACCAAGAAAATGGATCTGCTAGTGCATACTTCAGAATCAAGCAACCTTTATAAGAGCCATTTGGATTCATTTACCAAACTTCAAACTTTCCTAGGGGTGTATTCTTCATCTTCACTACAGGTTAGATATGACAGACTTAAAACAAACAAAAGTCATTCCAATCACTTATTCGAGATTATCAGTCGAAATCTCTGTTGAAGTTGTTATGGCTCAAAACAGCATATTCCCCTGCTAGATTACATACCTTGCTCCTTATACAGGATGAAAATTTCTGTTTAATGGCTTTAGGTAGACATCCTTGTCAAAATAAAAGTGATATTAACTGAAATGATACCCCTATTAAGCATGCATTGAATAGCCGCCTAATTCCATACATACAACTAAAGCAATCCATATGTATAAACTACATTCAACTGAGAAACATTACACTTCTTGGTGTGTCAATAAATTCCACCAACATAGGTTGTGTGCTGAACAGAGATTGCTCTACCCAACAAAAAAAAAAAACCACAAATCCACCAAGATTACAAGCACATACAACAAATCTTTATAAACTACACTAACATACAACCATGAACAGCGCAAACAATCACTTGCTTACTCGTTTTGGTTTTCACTTCCTGCCACCAGCCAATCCACCTCTTCCTTGAAACAACTCATTAATCCTTGCCTCAAGATCCTCCACACTGTACTTAACATATCTCTCCACTTGCTTTCCCATCTCTGGTGAACTCGGCAACCTTCCAATGAAATTGCCATATGCCGGTAACAAATTCCCGGCAACAGAACTCCTCAACTCATCTCTCAGTTGTTCATCAAAAATGACCCATGTGGATTGAGTTTTACATATCTGCTCAAAGTTGGTGTTGAAAAACTTGAGCTTCTCTTTCAGAGAATGGCCATCAATCTTTAACTCTCCTAACACCTTACTCCATGAGCTTCTTTGGTAACTCACATGATATAACCGGAGTTTTGCCATTTGTTTTCGAACCCAATCATCCCCTAAAAGTGACCCTAATTCACAATCCTTAACCTTTTGAACAATGTATCTACCATTGTTCATCATAAAAACAGAGCACAATGGGGAGTCCCTATAAATCTTCGACTTCGCCTCCAAATTACTCTGTAGTAACTCCATAATCCAAGCTATTTGGACCGACATTGAAGATGAGGACAACGATCTATCTTCCATTTTTCTATAATCACCAGCACTGGGTGGAGCAACGCTTTCCTCAAATACTTGTTCAAGGGTTTGCCGTGATTGACATGCTGCACGGAGATAATTCATGACATATCGAGTGATGGGATGAAGTCCGCCACCGGGAACGGCGGTCTTGGCTGGATCACGACGGATCAAATTCTCCAATTCCATGAAAATCCCTCTAATCGCTTCCCCTAATCTTTTCCAAATCGTAATTGCTTCGTTTCTAAGGAATAAACAGTACTGATCCGAAAAAACAGCTTCAAATTCAGGTATTAAGTCCCTAACCGTTTCGAAGACATCGAGAACTTTGAACAATCGCTCTGGTGCTCGGCTGCCAATCGCTACCGCATCGGTAAATTTCAGTAACTGAATCGTCGAACCACGGCACACCTCCATGAACGACAGATCAGCGGCAGACGAAAAGCCGAAGAAAATTCGATCGCAGAGACGCCGTTCGCTTGGGAATAAGATCCGAAGCGCGACGTTTGCGGCCTTAATCCACCGCTCGATTTCATCCTCAAGATCGGACCATTGCATTTTCTGAACCTCATCGTTGCTTAGCTTTTGTAACCCTAGCCTCGACAAGCTTTCCTCCAGAAATTCTCTCCGGCAAGAGCTGTACGCGTGCGAGCACTCCTTACCGTATCCTCCGGCCACCATACGCTTTACGATCTCGTGCAGATCGTTGATCGTTCCCGAAGGTAACGCATCGATGATGATATTGTAGTCAGATATCGGATGCGCCACTGGAATTTCATCGTCTTCGTCTTTATCTTGGTCTTCTGAATCAGACGAGTAACTCGGATGAGCTGACTCGCCGTTATGGTACCTAGTTACATCGAAGGACTCACCTCCACGCTCCATTGACAATTTAAACTCATCTTCAAGCCGAAACATGGCCTGCTGAAGCAAATCCTCTGCGCGATCGAGACAGGCCGAGACGTTCTTTTCACCGGACATCGGAGTCCAGTCTCGAATTAAACCAATTAATTCGTCAACGGAGTCGAGGAAAGAGGAGGAGTCAGCGGAGTCGGACCAAATAGGGTGGCCGGCGGAGACATAACGAGAGATCTGACGGTCAAGGGACTTGAGGGTTTGTTCCAGGGCTGCAAAGCTTCGTGAGTCCTCATCGGACAATTTCTCCGATAACTTTTCGCGAAATCGACCGTCGAAGTTGGAGAAAATTTGGAGTATGTCGTCGGTCATATTGTCTGTATGGCCTAGTGTCTTCGCGATGTGGCGAGCCATTTGTATAAGCTTCTCTTCACCGTTCTCCGCCATTTTTAAGAGGCTTAAAGCTTGGGTCTTTGATTTCGCTTAGAACACCAAGATTGTTTAGCTACTTGTACTATGTGTTTATGTGAGTGTATTAGGGTTTTAAAACTCTGGTAGGTGATGATGGTGGAGGAGTTGCAGAAATTGAACCGAGAGATAAGGGGATGAGGCGACGGACCCACGTGAAAGTGATACGATGATACTGGGGAAACGCGGTTTCTGTGAGATAATAATAAAGAAAAAGTAAAAGACGATAAAGAACACGGCAGAATTCAGAAACAGAGAAATTGGGAGAAGTTGTCGAGAAGGACAAGACAGCGACAGCAACGTGGAAAGAGAAAGGCGAAAAAGTCACGCATCACCTCCTAGTCTTTGTTTTATTGCCATTGACCATGGATGGTAGTCCCATTTTACGGTTTGAACTACCAAATTAAATACCACCGATCGCGAATGTAGTTATTAGGGGCTCCGAGTTACCACAGGTGGTTTTTTGGGCCCAAAATAAATAGGCCTAAAATTTTATAGTTGATACTAGAGTGCAATTTAGATGGATTAACCCGATTTTAACTTGAGTCTAATTCAAAAAAATTAAGACTTAGGTTAGGATTTTTAATAGTAAAAATTGGAAATGAGTCCCCCTATATGTACTTATTTGAAGATAAGTCCTGTAAGAAAACTTATAAGAAATTAAGTTCATATTTTAAATTATATGTAATGACTTAAGTCCATTTTTTTTTATTTCAAAAATATCCTTCCTTGAAAGAAAGTTAATATTTTCTCTTTCATATCTATCTATATTCATATATAGGTTAAGAGTTTGACTAACATTAAAATTTTTCCTCTCTCTTATCTATCTATATATAATATAAAAAAAAGGTTACTATGAATTTGAATTCATGTTCATGTTCATGTTGATGTTACTATTTTTTTTATTATGTTACTGTTCATGTTACTACTTTTGTTGAGTATGTTACTGTTCATGTACTATTATTTTTTAACATGTTATGACACTATTATTTTTTAAAACATTAATATTTAATGTTACTATTTTTTTTTAATATTACTATTTTTTATATTTAAATGATACTATTTTTTATGTTTGAATTTGAGATAAATAATTATTGTTAAGTATGTTACAATTTTTTTTAATGTTACTATATATATATATATATATAAGAGAAAATATTTTAATGTTAGTCAAACTCTTAAGATTTAAGAATTTTTAATTTTTAGTTTTATTTCATTTGTAAAGGAAATAGATAGTATATTAAAATTGATAAAAAACAAATTTTATAACAAATAAGTTTCTTTGACGGACTTAAGTCCAAACATGTCCATATAGAGGAACCGGCCTCCAAATTTCTCTTTTTAATATTTAGGTTGGGCTTTGGTCAAAAAATTTTAACCCAAATTCAATTTGGGCGGATCTCGAGTTAAGGCATCGGGTTCGACCCGAATTAATATTATATAAATACAATTTTAGTCTAGGGTTATTATATAGTCTGCGCCTCCCTCCCTCAAGACCCTCACTCAGTCTTAGTCCCTCTCACTCTCACTCTCACTCTCAGATCTGTCTCAGCCCTTAGCCCTCTCTCAACCTCCTTCTGAAGGAGTCCTTCGTCTTCGTCAAAGTCTCAACCCTCTCAGCCTCCTTTATCTTCGCCTCTCTCTCTCTCTCTCTCTCAGAGTCTCAACCCTCTCTTAGCCTCCTTCGTCATCTCAGATCAAAAATTTAGATTTCATCTCAAAGCAGATATATTATCTACGCCTCTCACTTCATCGATCCCAGATCATATATGCAATTTCATTTTTATTTTTACATTTTCAGAGTTAATTTTGAGATTTCTTTTCACTCTCATATGCAATTTTTTCAAAGTTTATTTTCACTCTCAGATGCAATTTTCTACGCCTCTTTTCCAACCTGCTATGACATTAAATTTTTTGTCCTCTTTTGATCCTTTTTTTCACAGTCAAAAGATGCATTAAGAATCTCTTTGGAAGTATATCAATCTAAAATTATTTTTTTTGATTTTGTTCAAGTCTAATATTTTAGTTTTAGCTGCATAAATTGATCATTTTTCTGTTCTTTGATTTTATGGCACAATAAATCAATATATGTCACTAATGGGGGAGACAGAGACAAATGCTAAATCTCTGGCTAAACTTGTATCTGAGTCTGCTTAAGTAGTGAAATTTATGTTTGTGCAAAGATTCTGGTTGTGTTTAGTTGTATTATGTATGGTTGTGGTTGAATTATCTCAAACATTGAGTTATTAATATTATGATTTTTATGTTAAAAACTTGATTAAAGTTGTTGGTTGTTAATTTAGATGAATATTATGTAATATATGTATCAAGTTTAGTCTAAAACATTTAGAACAACAAGTTTATTTGGGTTCAACCCAAATTAAACTCGTAAATTAACCCGATATCAACTTGAAATCATTAAGCCGAATCCGCCCGAATTAAACTCGGGCTGTGCTTGGGTTGAGTCCCTCAACCCGAGGTAGGGTTAGAGTTAGGGTTAGGGTTGAAGATTATACATCTAGGGTTGGGCTAGGTTTGACTGTCCAACCCGTCCGAGTTGCACCCCTAGTTGATCGTCTAAGTCTGAATTGAATATCCTTAAAAAGAGGGTTGGGTTTGCTCCTAAATTTATTATTCTGCCTGAAGCCCGGCCTAATAACCTGGCTCAAGAGCCCACCAAGCCTAGCTCGCCCACTCTTTCTTTGAAAAAAAATTACATTTTTAGATTATTAAATTTGAAATAACTCTCTCAATGTCGAAATTTAAAATTTTAAAAATATAGATACTATAAATGATGTATTATTTTTTTAATGTATTAAACATAAAAGTTTTAAAGCATAGACTAATTTAAATGATAGATAAGTGAATTGGTGTAAAACAAATTGGGATGTATTCATTCAATTGAATGTAATTCATCCCCTAATAAAAAATAAATTTATTCATTATTTTATTTTTATCCATTTTGACTCTACTTTTGATTCAAAAATATAATTTATACAAATATTAAGTTACAAAAATATTAATTATTTTTAAATAAAATTGTATATAAAAAAACTTATGAGCAGACTCGTCCAATATGCTCATTGTTTGGGCTGCGGTAACCTACCCCTACTCAAAGGTTGACCCAGCCAGCTCGATAACTCACTTGGATACGGGCTTGGACCTACACTACCTAAAATCGGCCTAGCCCATGGACACCCCTAGTACTTATTCAATGTGTTGAGTTTGTATCTCTTTGAGGAAATTAAATTTATTTTTCATTATTTAGAATAAACGATGAGTCGTTAACTTTGGCGGTCTCTTGTGAATAATATTGAGTAATTAACGAGACATTATGCAACTCACCAATAAAAAGTAGACACGTGGGCAATAACAGTCATCATAACGCGCAAAGCATGCTTGAAAGAGACACCGAGGAGTTATGTCAGATGGAGCCGAGTACGCCCCTCAAAACCTAGCATTAAATAGAATCTGACAGCTTATTAATGTGGGTCTTATGTGGTTTGATAGAGACATTCATTACATTATTAGGAGGCATTAATGACCATCATGCCAACGTGAAGACCTTGGGGAAGCCTGATGACTGTCTATTCCTCCTCATGAAAGCTCGGGCGTAGGTTCCAAGCACTGATATTAAGTAGTTAATAACCAGGGGATTGGCCCATGAATGCTCAATGGTTTTCGAGTGAGGATCTAATTGCTTGTGAGGACTAGTCTTAATGAGACTTGATAAGATGACACTCATTATGTTGGAAGATGAGCACAGGCCATTAAACTCTAAAATGGGATTCAAGGACAGGACCATCATGGCAAACCCATGTATAAATACCTCTCGAAATGTCGGACTAAAGTACGCAATCTCAAATGAAGAATACAATGTGCATTGTGACTATAATGTCGACTGACTTGAGCTGCGGAGGGGATTAGTTGTGTACACACCCAGCCCCTTTCTTAATCCTTTGATTGTTTATGGTTCATGACTCAGGATCATTCGACAGATCGCTATCTCAACTTATTACAAGAATTCATCCGTGCAGTAATAATAATCTCTGATTAATACATAGATTGATTTATCTGCATATTTATTTTATGCATGAAATAAGAATTACCAAATTAAATTTCACGTTCTTTCCTTTTTCTTTTTTCTCTGTTTTTTGTGTTTGAAAATGCAAAACTTATTTAAACGCTCAAATTCAAAACTATATGAAGACAACAATATAATTAGATCACATTTAGGGTAAGATATGATGAATTAAAACCCCATTGTGATTATCTACCAAAAAAAAAAACTTGGGCTAAACACATATTATTGGCATTGATATAACAAGAAACGTGGGTGACATGTCCAAGTAAGAGCAAATTCACATGACTATTCAAGTGAAGTTGATAACGCACAAATTAGTTTTGCCCACCACCTGTCAAGTAATTAATGCAATAACAAATAAGGAGAGAGCTAACAAAAGTAACACATAGATATAGAATGGTTCGGTCACGGTGACCTACTCTACTTTGAAAGACTTTGGTTGCTAGGGTGTTTTATTGTTGTGGAAGTGCGAAGCGCTCAAGCGATTCAGGTGTGAAATAAGGTGCTAGATACAAGATGTGAGAGATGTGGGAGTCATGCCAGTCATAGATGGCCCCTATGTATAGGCGGGACTTACATTTTATAGTCTTCTCTTAATAGATTAAGGCGGTTTATCAGTAAGTAAAAGACTAATTTGGTGGAGGTGGCGTCATCTTCACAACGGATAAGACAGTTGCAGAGCTCTCCTCAAGATCGAGTTTTAGGATGGCGTGGTTGACTTCTTCACTCCTTATTCCAAAGTGGCTTGGATGAGGATCTTGGGATAACGCTTACTCCAGGGTGGCTTAGATGAGACTCTTGGGATGATGCTTACTCCAAGGTGGCTTAGATGAGACTCTTAGAATGACACTTACTCCAAGGTGACTTGGATGAGATTCTTGGAATAGCACTTACTCCAAGTTGGCTTGGATGAGACTCTTGAGATGACTCTTACTCCAAGGTGGATTGGATGAGGCTCTTGGGATAACACTTACTCCAAGGTGTTTTGGATGAGATTCTTGGGATGGTACTTACTCCAAGGTGGCTTGGATGAGGCTCTTGGGATGGCGTCGCCTACTCCTTGATGACAGGGCCCTTGGAGCCATGATGAGCCTAACTAGGCGTGGATCTCTTTTAGGCTAGACCCATTGGATTTTTTCTAGTGGATCATTTATTCAAGTTGGGCCCATAACCTGAGTTAGGTCTTGGGGGCTCATCATTTGCCCCCTAATGCTCTGAGTCCAATAAAACTTGGAGAAGAGGGCATTTAGCTAAATTTGGACTCTAGTGGATGAAGACTCCTTTTAAATGATGACCTTTTTTCCTTCTTGATACAGTTAATGCCCATAGGACATAAATTGCTATGAATGAGTTAAGTGACTGAAGACCGTTATCGAATGAAGGAAGAGAAAAGCCAGAGGCCATTGACATCAGAGAGGAGGCTGATGGTGCTGAAGTAGTTGGCATCAGCGGATGAGCTCAAGAGGGCGTCGACAAGGTGATGTCCCTGGTGGGCGTTGGCAAGGCAGCGGGCAACGACGAGGCAAAATGTGCAGTAGGCGTAAGCGAAGCAGGGGCCAGATTGGCATCGAGGGCAAGACACTATGGGATGGCGAGTTCGCCTTAGCCACCACCAATCACAGAGGAGAGGGCATGCCATAGTTGGCACCGTTGGAGGCTGGGCGAGGACGAGCGAGCATGGCGACAGCGTCGCAAGACATTGGGCACGGCCAGACAAGTGTGGCATCAGCGTCACTGTGCTCAGTGGGGGTGTCAACACTAGGTGAGCCAGGCATGGCAGCGAAGGATTCTGGGCATGGGACTATGCAAGTTTATAAGGAAGGGAAGCCAGGAGTTGGTACTAGTGCATTGGGTGGCAATGACTCTAGTTAGGTGGTGGATGATATGGTTCGTTCAAGCAGAACTCTACGAAGTCAGATCCCTCAAGATTTTCTTGGTAGTGACCCAAACAATGTCTCTCTTTGTCCTCACAAACACCGAGGAAAGGTAGCTCTTGATGGCGACGAATCCAAAGTAAGTACCATTTCCAATACTCTCAACACTGATGTTGATATTCTATGGATTACAACATTCTTCTCACTATGCTATATCGTCAAGCTGAAATGGATGAGCTTACCTATGATGACTCATCTAGGGATATTGTTATTTATGAGGAGGTGCTTCGGGTAGAACTAAGGTTTCCCATACCTTCCTTTGTTTGTCGCATCCTTTATTGTTTTTCACTTGCACCAAGATGGGGTGCCAGGAGGCTGGGCACTAGGAAGGGGCACCAAGAGGCTAGGTGCCAGGATCAGGGGAGCTAGTACCCAAGAGCAAGTGTCAGATCCTTAGTGTTGGGAGTGCAGACAGGTCTTGTATGCGCTAGGTGTTAAACGCGGCAGCGCTGCAACAATGAGGTGGTGGTGTTGGATGGATAAAAAGAATGAGGCCAAATTGTTGACATTTAATCTAATGTACTCCCGCGGGTTGCAAACCACTTGAGTTTCAAGAGCGTGCCTACAGATGGAAAAAATAATGTCACTCCAACATCAAAATATTCAACATAATTACTTGGAGAGAGATGCAGACACTTCAAGATGTAGAGAAATAGAGGCTGCTTGCGTGAGAGTAAAGACAAAATTTGAGGGTTGCTTGTGAGAGAACTGTACTTCTTCAGATTGAGCTTTTGGCGACCTGTGAGAGAGTTGCTAAGCTGAAGGTAAGCTAATTTTGAGGCTGCCCACATGAGAGTAGAGGCAGAATTTGAGGGTCGTTTAAGCTGCATCTTTTGAGACCGATCTTTTGCTGACCCGTGAGAGAGTCACTAAGCTAGAGGTAGGCTAACTGTGAGGCTACCCGCATGAAAGTAGAGCATAGATAGGTCAAGATTTTAGCGACCTGTGAGAGAGTCATTAAACTGGAGACATAGACTGTCAGCTTAAGAGTAGAGCAAAGATATACCAAGTCTTTTACGACTCGTAAGAAAGCCACTGCCTGCTTGAGAGTACAACATAGATAGGCCAAGCTTTTGGCGATCCGTGAAAGAGCTGTTAAGTTGGAGACATAGGCTGCCTGCTTGAGAGCAAAGCAGAGATAGGCCAAGCTTTTGGCGACCCGCGTAGAGAGCCGCTAAGCTAGAGATAGGCTAACTGTGAGGCTATTCACATGAGAGTAGAGGCAAAATTTATGGGTTAGGCCATGGGAGGGTCACCAAGTAGGAGGCTCATTCCAATAAATGGAAATGAGCTGGGCACCTTGGGGCTTGGGGCCTAAGAAGTTGGCTTCTGAGGGCTAGCGCCTGAGGTGCTGGGCGCCTAGGGCTTGGTGCTTAAGGGGCTGGGTGCCCGCGGCCTGGATCCTAAGGAGCTAGGCGCCTGAGGGCTGATGCTTGAGGAGCTAGGTGCCTAAGTCTTGGTGCCTGAGGAGTTGAGCGCCTAGGTAGGAGCATTGATGGGCCCTTGGCGCCTGGCGCTGAGTTTTCTTGACGATCTCTCTCCTCAAAGTGGTGTGAGCTCAGCCATAAAATATGTTAATGCAGGTGCCTTTGTGGCTTCTTTTGTCAGAGTCAGGCACATGTGATGATGATGATGGCGAGGACTCACCTGGCCTGGCTTTGGTGACATGCATTTATGTATTTCTGAGCATTTGTCCACAATTATGTCATGCTCTTTGGTAGGTGCTTCATCATTGAGAAGAGAAAGCTAGATGAGCGTAGGCTTCCCAAGAAAGCGATCATGGTGACCTTGTCATCGGGCTCCTCAATGTGGAGGACCTCGTTAAAACGAGTGAGGTAACTTCTCAGGCTTTCATCCAGGTCCTATTTTTTGCTGAGTATGTGGGTGACAAGATTCTGATGGCAGCGTCCACCAGTGAAATGTGCCACAAAGGATCTGTTTAGTTCAGCGAAGGAGCCTATGGAGGCCAGGATGAGCTTGGCAAACCACTATCGGGTAGATCCCTTTAGGGTTATTAGAGAGACTTTGCACATGATTTCGTTAGGAACATTATGCAGTTGCTTTAAGGATTTATAGGTGTCGAGGTGATCCAGTGGGCCTTTTGTGCCATCAAACGCTTCCACCGATGACATTCTGAATTTCTAAGGAAGTGGCTAATTTACCACATCGGCTATAAAAGGCATGTTAGTGCGCCTTACGAGGTACTCAACAGTTTCAAATCCTTGCACATTCATGGCATTGAAGACGTCACCTAGTTGATTTATGTACTTCCTTGATTTTTTCACCCCAATGATTGTGGACTCCTTTGGATGGATCATGAAAGTGGCTATTATGGTCCACACTTTGATTTTTCCCCTCATCCTCCTGGAAAAGGAAAGTCTCCAACATGGGAAGTGGGAGTTGGAGGAGGAGGAGGAGCTGCTCTATGGTGATGATGAGGGGTTTCAAGTCCTTGCAACTTCCTTGGTGCCCTGGGCAAGGAGCTCCGCTGGTTTGATACTCTCCTGGCTATGCACCTCCTTGTCCAACAAGCATCAATTATAGGATCTGCTGATTCTGGGTTACTAGCTGCTGTATCGTTTCCAGCTGTGGGTTTGGAAGATGATTGGCTGGTAGAGGAGCAGCATCTTCCTCTCGTGGTGGATTATCCTCAAGCTGATTCATGGATTTAGTGATGATTTTCATAGATACAAAAAAAGGATGGTTGAGTGAAAACTTTGTCATTCCCACAGACGGCACCAAAACTAATGATGCACAAATTGATTTTGCATACCACCTGTCAAGTAATTAATGCAATAACAAATAAGGAGAGAGCTAACACAAGCAACACACAGATATAACGTGGTTCGGTCAAGGTAACCTACTCCACTTTGAAGGACTTTGGTTGTCGGAGTGTTTTATTGTTGTAGGAGTGCCGAGAGCTCAGGTGAGAGTAATGAGAGCTCAGATGAGTCAGGTATGAGATAAGATGCCAGATTCAAGATGTGAGAGATGTGGGAATCATGTCCGTCATAGATGCCCCATATGTTTAGGCGGGGCTTATATTTTATAATCGCTTCCTAACAGATTGAGGTAGTTTATCAGTAATTAAAAGGTTAATGGTGGAGGTGGCGTCATCTTCGCAACGGATGAGGCAGTTGCGGAGCTCTCCTCAAGACCGGGTCTTAGGATGACGTGGTTGACTTCTTCGATCCATACTCCAAGGTGGCTTCGATAAGACTCTTGGGATGACGTTTACTCTAATGTGGCTTGGATGAGACTTTTGGGATGACGCTTATTTCAAGGGAGCTTGGATGAGCCTCTTGGGATGACGCTTACTCCAAGGTGGCTTGGATGAGACTCTTAAGATGACGCGACCTACTCCTTGATGACAAAACCCTCGGATCCTTGATGAGCTTGACTGAACATGAATTTCTTTTAAACTTGATTCATTGAATTTTGTCTAGTGAATCATTTATTCAAGTTGGACCAACAACCTGAGTTGGGCCTTGAGTCGGGCCCATCAGAAGCGATTTGTTTATCGTGATTGGCTTGGCTTCAAACTAAAATTCTATTTGTTATTTATATTCCGACAAAAGGCAGCTGTACTGAAAACTATATTCTGCCTTATTGGGTAGACTTTAAAGCAAAAGCCTGTGGTAGAGAAATTTCCAAATATTTCAAACGCTAAACACCCTAAATTAAAATAAATATAACGATTACAATCAAGTAGGCTGTTCCTGACCAAATCAACAAATAAAAAAATCAAGTAAAGGATGTTTAGCATCTGTTTTGCAAAGACTTGTGTGGACTGCAACAATAGTTTTTTAATGCAAAGCAGGGCCAGCGAAATTTAATAATGTTATTTAGATTTAATTTTTTAATATAATTTATTGATCTAATTCATCATAATTATTAAGTTAACAGTAATATTATGTTTATCAAATTTTTTTTCTCTAATAATATGATATAATTTCTATTGTTAAATATTAATAGAACCCACTTATTTGATAGTAAAAATATATTACATCACTTGAGGTGAAAAATTTGATAAAAAATATTAGTCAACATAGCAGTGTTAATTAAATTAATTATAAATTTCAATAAATACCGAGTTCGTCAATACAATGACTATAAATATTAAACAATAAATTAAACACAAATAATCCATAATTTGGTCAAGTATTTGATGGAGTCAACTGCCCAGCAACGTTTGCGTTGGGCAAAAGACCATTATGCATTACTCATATCATATAGCTTGTCCTTCATTTTCATTGTATTTATAGATCAAGACAACAGTCAGTATGATCGTATGTGTTATCTGTACTTATGAAATAGACTGGCTATTTTTGCATAAGACCACGTATATTAATGAATAT